TAGGATATGCCTCAAAGACTTAAATAACATCTACAATTGCGCATAAGTAACATTTGTCATGTCATTGTATGCGTAACGAACACTTAGATGTCATAACATTATAAACCATATTATACAACAATGAGAATACTTTCGATAAAGTAAGATCTCCTGTCTTAAAATATTTGTAATTTAATTTCTCTTTCTGCAAAACTTCTTACTGTAATGCTTATAAATGTTATTAAAACAAAAGTTTTAAAACAGAAACCATGCCGAATTTAATCAAGAGTGGTGTTGTACTCTAGATAGATAACATCATAAAGTTATAATAACTAGATACAAACTTATGATTTGGTTGTTTGTTTGAAGTTATTCACAAAGATACACAATGGGCTATCTGTGCTCTGCCCACCACGGATATTGAAACCCGGTTTCTAGCGTTGTAAGTCCGCAGATATAATGCTGCGCCACTGGGGGGTCACTTTTTTCGTTATAAACCACATACATTTGGAAAATAAAATCTGAAATGTGACTCAAACATTTTATTTTCAAAGTCGTCTTTTTTTTAATTCTAGTGATATGTTTGCACATTTATACACACTTATAAAAATGTGTTTCTATAGTGATATAGTAATAAATACTGATAAATAAATAAAGGATCAATAACAAAAATATATAAAGCTGAAAACTCGTGCCTGCCGTTTTTAATTGTTTGTTGCAAAGGGGCTGCCCTATTACTGCATTGTACTGTTTCGTGAAGTAAGAAAGCACTCTATATTTTATTTCATAGTGTTGCCATCTATTGAGTGCTTTTAAAGTTATTCCGGAAAATATGAATTGTTATAATTATTTTTACTTCTTGTGAATGCTACCTAATAGTTAAGTTTTAACGTGTATTTACAGCCTAGTAAGGTAAAGATATTTTGTAAATTATGTTTACAGATATCAATAAAGTGAAATGAACCAGTTTTATTGAGAAATTAAAAAAATATATAGAATAAAATTGTTTATCTTAAGTTATTGAGCGTATTATGTGAGTTCAGATGATCAAAACATCCTTTCATATCAGTCTAGTGTAAACAGACGAAAGGGTTGTAATACATATAGAGTAGAAATCTGTTCCACGTGTCTACAGCCACGCCTTTTGTGCTATTAGCACAGCCAAGAGGTTCATAGAATATTTGATCAAAAACACCCACACTCTCGAGTTTCTATGTGAGTGTGTGCACGCCTACTCATTTATAAGCACAAAAGGCCGCTAGATGCAGAGGCGGGAGATACTGATACAACGCGGGAACTTAGAGGCGAACTGAGAATTGATTAGCTGAAGTTTCCGTTCGGCTGCTACAGATGCAACGTTTTCGTTCATGTTATGTTCAAAAGGAAACATATAACAACACGAAACATGAAAATGCCAGCTGAAAATATTTACATATACGCGCTCAAGTTCATTATTTCAAGCTAATGCTGTAAGATCAGTATGAAATTCGTTTCAAAATGCCAATCAAAAGCTTATCTAAATTTTATGTTCTTTCGACTTCATCAGATTATGTAACTCGTTTACGGGAAAGTTAATTTAACGACAAGAAACACTTTTCAAAAAGCGGCATTTGTGAAAATTAAAATATTAAGTACCTGAACACTTATATAAGACTAATCATGATGAAGAATTTGTAACTTAACAACAGTTAACCAACAAATATCAAGTTAGTTAGGCTTAGTACCCGTATGATACCTTGAATGACGTGACCTAACATTCATAGGTATATATATATATATATATATGTAAATTGCTAAAAAAAGATGAAAAATGCCCACCAGTTGAAGCTTAATTTTCTCAGTTTATTTTGCGAATTTCTTTTTACTGTTTCTTTGCATTCCCCGATGGTACAGCGATAAGTCTACAGCTTTATAATGCTAAAGAGGTTAGTCCTCGGTGGACACAGTAGTTAGGCCTATGTGGCTTTGCTATGAAAATAACACAAACACACCGTTTCCTTGGTAAAGTCTGCTTTATATAAACTGAATATAAAATAAAAGATGTTGTTGGTAATGCTCTCATTGTTTTTAATTTCAGAAAAACAGAAATTGTTAACAAAGTTCTTGTATATTAACTAAGTGAAAATGAACAGTCTTTGTCATTTTCTTTAACGTTGGACTTGGATCTGTGTTTTCATTGTTCCCTTCCATTAAACGTGGAAATTAAGGGGTGGTTATAAAGTAAGCAACAGTATTTGGATCAGTTTACATGGCGTATCGCAAACATTTTGTGCAAGTGCATTAGGTGTATTTTGCTGTTAAGCCCAAAGATGCACAATGGGCTTTCTGTGCTATGCCCATCGTAGGTAATGAAACCCGGTTTTTAGCGTTACGAGCCCTCAGACTTATTACTGGGCTATTGAGGGACCACGTGCATTAGGTATTTTGGGTTGTATATTATGTTAGAATCTGGAAATGGCACTAGAGACGCTGCGCATGATTTTGAAAGTAAATCTAACTGAATATAATACGCACAGGATAGCACAAACACTGCGAGCAACCATTACTTTGTTGCTAGCAGTAGAAGTCATAGAACAACATTAAATTTGGATCAAAGGATTACGTTGGTGAAGCAGTACAATGAAATAACTGCCATAGTAGCGCCATTTTTAAGTATAGCTTTGATGTTCTCCCTGTTCTAAATCGAAGTTTCTAATATGTTTGTAAAAGGCTGTTTGAAGAGTTTAACAAATACATAGGCTTCGCGGTTAATCTGCAATTTTTATCATTCCTTAACTTAACTTATTAGAATTTTGGACAAAGTTGAGTAAAATATATAAGGAAAAACAAACTTTATTTACTGGAAATACGTTTCTACCACATCATATCTATAATTCAAAATATTTCACTAAACATCTCAGAGCCTAGGAATGCCTCGTAGTTCTGATATCATAAACCTGTTCACCAACATTCGACTGCAGAAATCCTCCACATCACCAAACAACGGTTGTTAAATGATTGGTTTCTTACATACAGAATTGAGATTAAGATATGAGCAATGATGAAACTCACCCCAGTTTGTTTACAGTCTACATACTTTCAATACAACAGTGACTTCTTTGAACAAACAGATGTGTGATCACCACTCTCTCCAGTTTTAGCATATATTTTTCTGGATGTTTTTTTAACAGAGGCCTATCCTCTACCGACAAGAAATTCAGCTTTTACAGACGCTGTATTGACGATACATGTTTTTTTATCTGGCCCCATAGTCATCAGACTTCACTCTTAACTTTTGTAGAAAACCCTAGACAACAGAATCTCCCGCATCATGTAAATAAAGAACAACAACAGGCTGTCATTCCTTGATATACAGACAGGACGACAAACTCGACATGTACAGGAAACCGGCTCATATTTATAGACAGATATTCACATTTCGAATCTTACCATTCACCATTTGTTAAACACAGTATTATTAAGATTTGAAAACGTCTGCGACAAAAACCCATCAAACTGAACGCCGATACATCATACATATTTTAAATAGAATGGATACTCCCTCTAGTTTCATCATTAATATCTCGAAGAAATAAAAATACAAAATGAGAAAAGAAAAACAATCCCGACGTTATTTACTCCCAAAAGGTGAAAAACATAAATGAGAAGACCATACAAATAGCCAGAAAGTTCAACATTAATGTTGACTGGAGATCTTACAGAACAGTTAATATCCCTGTCAGAACTAAACAAAGAACATCTGACGACAAAAACAAAAACTTCATCTGTGAAATACCATGTTACTGTAAACAAACCTCTATCAGATAAACTGGAAAGCACTTTGGGGCAAAAAATATAAGAACATAAAGGATGCACAAGACTGATGGAAACGTAGAATTCTGACCTGGCAGAGCATGTTGATTGGACATAAAACTGGCTCAGACAATTACAGACACATTGATTCAGATAAATTCTGAAAATCAAAGAAACTTTCTAGAGTAGAATCTACAAAAACATGATGAAACTATCATTAAATAAGAACCACCAGCCAATCTCGTCACGTACGCTTCTACCCTCTTAGGTATCACTTAAACCACTGCAAAATCTGATGCAAGTTGACAACTAGCGAAAGTGGTTGTTTCTCTAGGTTACTTCTATTTTATCTTGAATCCAGTTCTAGGCTATTGGATCATTGATCCCAGCCCTGTCTCCAGCTTTAGATCAATTGATTCCTTTTTCTTTCATATTTTCTCTTCACCCACGTCACGAAGCAGAAGTACTCTAACCACACACCACAAAGAGGGGAGAACACCCAAGGGTACTGTTCCTGAATAACTGCCAAAGAGATGAAGATGACAGAAGTGCAAACTGACCTGAAGACGAGAAATGGAATTATTTCGAAACGTCGCCCTTTCTACCCAGGCTACTTTTGTAGATTAGTCCACCAAGACTTTCTCTTCGCGAGTCACTCTGAACTAGGCAGTTGTTGCCCATTTCAGTTTGAATTGAAGGCTCTGTCTAAATTATTTATAAAGAAATAAATAAAATATTTCGAATTCTTGGAAACAACATATAATTTTAGTTTGTGATTTTTTCCTTTACCAAAACGTATAATGTTAGTGAAGAAAACAAAGAATCTACGAATGGCGTTTCGCTAAACTGACGCCTTATCTCTACTTTGGAGAGCGAACTAAATAATTACATTAGAAATTATATCGTAGTGGAATGTAAACAATGTTTTTTTTCTTTTCCGAAACGTGTAACTTCAGTAAAGAAAAGATCTTTTAAGTGATGCAGTAATTATAATTTCCATCACGAAGCACTAACGAAACAAAATTCATACATTTAAAACGTTCAAATATTTACATTTATTGAATAAAATCACTTAATATTTTTAATTGAACAATACTAAAATTCTAAATTGTTTCAAGTTGTTTTTATAAATAATAATTGTTTTTAAAATAATATTTAAACCTAATTTTCAAGTGGCCTCTCTACGGATAACACATGAATTGTAATATGTATATATTGCGTCATTCTAATTTCTAGCATGGAGGCTACCACTAACAGTAACAGTGGACAGGGTAATATAAATAATGAAACGTTTACTGCAAAAGGTGAAAGAAAGGTTCCGTGTCGAGCGTGTACAGATTTTAAAACTTGGGCAAAACATCAAGGGATGAACTTTTCATCTATCTTAGGGGTAAGTAAGTATGAATATAAACTGAAAATCAACCCTTAACTTAGACTTAAACTAAAAACGTAAAGTTGTATTATCTAAATGGTGATTAGAACAGCTTTTCTTAATCTTGTCGATATCAGTATTACTATCAGGGACCGGCTCGCTCTGTCCCTAAACTGTCGCGGACCATTAAAAATAAAATATAAGTACAAAGAAAAAACGGTACTGACTGGTCTAAATTATAGTTATACTACTACTAGTACTATTAAATGCTAAATACATCTTCATGCAATTTTTCGAGTGTATCAGTGTTTTGTTAAACTTAAAAGTTAGAGTTAGACGAAAGCGTAAGGGATCAATTAGTGAGACAGGGACATTGTTAGGCTTAACAAATAAACGTAGAAACTAAAATTATGTAATCTTTTCCAAGTGTTGTCTTTTTTTTTTTTTTGGCATAACTTTAGGATTTAGTTTTACTCTTTACTCGGATTGACACTAACTACCAGTAGGGCACCGAAGTTCTTTTTGTAACCTAGGTCCTGGGAAGCCTCAGTCTCAGGTCTAAGACTCTTACCTTGGACCTGATAGGTTTTTTTTCTATGTTACAAGATAACGATCTTTGGTCTACTCCGTTGTAATAGATAGAGTATTGATTCAACTCTAATCTGACCACTGGAATCTGCTTCATATTATGAAATAATACTTTGATTTCTTACAGATTGTTGGGTGTGGCCAAGTGATGTGTACCAGATTGTGATCTAACGATCTTTTTTTTTGCTGCATAAAATAAAAATAGCATTCCAAACTTTAAAACTGTAGGTGTCTTATGAAAGTGGTGGTTAAATTTGAATATTAGAGTTATTTGTGCGTTTGTTAACTGGCTGCCTTCTCTTAGTCTGTTAACAGCCCTTGCACAGATATGTGGAACACAAGACTCTTCCATTGCTCTGTGATCTAGTGATGGTAGGTGTTAATCAGCATCTTTCCATGTGGTACTATGGCATTCCACTGATCTCACTTTTAGTTTAGAAAATTAAACCTAATTAACTTACTAAATGAGAAAATTAAGGATAAATGCTACAAGTTTAAGAAATTTAAATTGACAGGTGGAAGGAAGATTAACAAAGCTATGAATTTGTTGAAAAATGAAATTAAGAAATCAGAAATGGCTTATGAGAGAAATCTTGCTGTATATGTTAAAACTAACCACAAAGATTTTTTTTAAAGTACATTTAAGGTAAACAGTATGTTAAAATGGAGAATGGGCCTTTAAAGGATATTGGTGGCAAGATTTTGTTTACACCATGTAAAATATTAGCAACTTTCCTGACTCTAAGCATTATAAGTTTCAAAAATAAATAATCTTGGTATAGTGGTGGTTAGATCATTCAAATTATCGAGACACTGCTCTGTTGCTAGTAATAAAGCAAATCAAATTTTTTTTATAGACATCGATTACAAGTTAAAAGAGATAATTATTTCTATCAAAATGTCTCACTCGGAATACGGAGTACAACTTGACCTTTATCTAAGAAAGGATTTTAATTTTTGGGTTCAAAGGAAGGCTACTGGGATGATTCTGGGAATGTACGGGTTATATTACAAAAGGTCTCATTTCTTTACGCTGTATTTTGAGGACAAGAAGACACAACTTTAAAATCTAGAAAAAGACAACTGAATTTTTTAACATGTAGTTGGTTTATGTAATGAGTAATGGAGGCTGGCTCTTGACTAGAAAGCAGTCAATAATTTCCTGAGAAACAATCTATGGGCTTGAATTTTTACATTTTTTCAGGGTGGTAGTGTAAGAACAGTCTTGAAAGACCAAAATGTCCCTTGCAATCTATATATAACTGTTTACTAGCATGATTTTTGAATGAAGGAAGTCCATGTCGTGGACATCATAAATGTGTAGATGCGAAAGGACTGTAGTAGAAGTAAACTATTGATCGTGTTGAGAAACTGACTCAACTGATTGAGTCAGCTGTAATGACCACTTCTGAGTCTTCTAAAGAATGATGGGATGTTGTATCTTGTTTCTCTTTTGAACAAACAACTTGTATCCTCTTAAGGTCAGTCTTGGACAGCTACCTCAACTTGCCACTTATTATGTCGTTCCAGTTCTCTAGAAGGCATGGTTTTGGACAAGAAAGGAAATTTGTATTCTCCCATTGCAACATCATGTTGGAAACCAGTAATAATGTGTTTTGTAGTTACCCTACCTATGATACTGCTTGCTACTAACATTGTTCTATTAGTGATATCATTTTGATGTATATAGATCACGCGTATTGGGCCTCAACAAACATTTTCATATTTCGGAGCTAGGGGGGTCTGTATCATTAAATATTGTCTTTACCAGCTTTCTTTAAAGTTAGTTTCACTAACAACATTAGTGATATTATAATATATATATCTTTATTATTAGCATAGTTAGTTTTTCGATTCAGGACTAACCTAAATATACCAAGTTGTCCAAACCTAGTAAGATACTAAAAATGTAGCCAAAAATATTCATTACATTGAGGTTAGCTATCCAACAAATTAATATGTTCTAATTCTTATGAGCTTGTTTTATGACAACACCTGATCCTAGATGGATAAACCTATTAAATTAACTATATTATTTAACAAGTTCCTTATTAGTTGTGATCTGTTATACAACTCTCTCTCTCTAATCAGAAGTCAATATCACCCCCCACCCCCAAGTCTAATTATTAAACTTTACAAGAATGTATGGTTCACCTTTTCACAGTTTGAAACAAGCTTTATCTCTTTTTTAACCCTTGTAGATATAAAATTCATTTTGCTGTCTGGCACGGAGAAAATTCTAAAAGTCAAAGTATCAAGTTCTCGTCAATATAGTGGTTAAATCATGATGTACTTACTTTGTGGTCTACCAAATTACTTGAAATTGATTATTCTATCACTTGGCTGACTATATTAAATAGTGGATGTTTTCTCACAATGTTGATGATTATGTGTATGGTGCTGATATTAAATATTTCTTTATTAGACAAAATAGATGATTTTTATTTCATCACTAACTATACTGAGATACCGTACTCCTATTTAATTTATTTACTTTCTCTGCTACAATTTTTGCAAGCTTCGTACCAATCTGTTGAAGCATCCCACGTGTTATTAATCATGTTATTTTACTCGGAGTTTGAAGGTACTATAGAAGAGCATGTTATACGTGCCATGAAATGTGAAAGGTGCATCACGATCTGATTGTTAGATTTAATTCTTAGAGTCTGCTGTACTTGAAGATATTTTGAAGATGTGCAGCATAAGATGTTACGTAGAAAATTGGATTTTTTTTGAATTGGTATAAAACTGAACATGTGAAAAGTTAAGTTTCATGAAATTAAAACACTAGGTATGGATAAATTTGCTTAACTACTAATAATACTAGTCTATTGATCATATCTAAACCATTATTTGACAAAAGTCAGTGTGTGTGTGTGTGTATGCTTATAACTATCAAACCACTAAGATGATTGTCATCAAATCTC